CATAGCAATAACAGCGTGCTGGAGCCAAACCCGCACAAATCACAACAAATCTCGAAAACTAAACCACCAGGAAACCGTACATTGTTGCTGTTGCTCATGGCTTTTCATACTCATATCAGCTCCAGCACACATCTCAATCACACTGGTAGCCCTGTGGACCCCATGTGACGAAACCATGGAAGCACGAAGGGAAACAGAAGATCTGGCCAATTGTCTCTCTTCGGTCGGTCGAAGCTTCCTCTGTCTTCCAATGTCTTCTGAAAATCAGTGCTGAGCACCAAGCCAGCAAGTTGCGTTGACGTGTTTTCCTTGTTTTTCCTTTTTTCCACATGAAGACCATCTTGACTGTGGATTTAAGTGAACACCTGGAGATGTATGACAGCACCTTCAAATGAAGCTTCAAAAAGCGGACAATCGGAATGTTGTTTTTTATGTTTCTTCATGCAAAACGTAACTGAAAAATCTCGTAACCAAAAAAGGTTAAGGACGCTACTGACTACTGGTATTGGAAGAATTCAACAGTCAGGTCGTCTATTAATCTCATGGATCCACCTGGCACGTCGAACTCAGTGACGCCTGGCGCGTCAAACGCGCCACCAACTCCTCTGAAAGTCGACCGCTCCTGGTGGCGATGAGCCCATGGGTAAGTGGTCATGAAAAGCCCTGGTGTCCAAGCTGTTGGCCTTGGATCTGGATGGAAAGCCAAGGGAGGCCAAGTGACCAAACTTTGAAAGCAGTTCAGTTTCCGCGAATGCCAGAGTCGAGGCAACTGATCCATGTTGGTCCTCTACAAAGTGAATGAGGTCTGCTTCCATTGGAAGGAGAGTCGGCACCAGCTACAGTATCTGTTCCCATCACCCGGCCCCTATCTCTAAAAGCTGGCCTCTCATAGGGGGGACGAAGAGTTCCAAGCTCGTCACAGATCAGTGGATGTTCGCTTTTCCGAGAAGGGGCACCACGCAAGCTGACCCAACAGGGTCCAAGATGCGCTGTGGTGGAATCAAGCAACTTGAAGGTGCAGAAGTTTCACAATCCAAAAGAGTTTTTTATCGAGAGTCTACAAGAGTGTTTGAAGCAAAGAATTCACTCAATTGCTCCTGGGTAACAGCTGCAAAGAGGCACCAGTCATGTCAGTTCAGTGCATTCCCCGAACAAAGAAGCCCCAACTTCTTTCCGACAGATTCACATTGCAGAACTAGCCCCTTGGAAGACCATCTTCATCTATCAATGGTTTTGTGGGGGGGCGCCAGTGATCGCAAATGGCCTTTTCTGATGATTCTCTCTCTGGCATGATCTTTGGCGTGATTATCCATTTCTGAAATAATCATGGAAGTCCAAAACCCCCTGTTTGTAGAGAAAAAATGGTCTTCCGCTTCCATGTTAGTTCCAGGGAGTGTAATTACAGCTATGGCTATGGCCCTGGCCTAAACAAATGGGACCAGTACCACAAGCCCGTACAAATGGGCCCGCAAGGTGATGACACAAAGTGCTAGACCAGTCCGCACGCGTCCTCTCCAGCAGCTCGTCTAGATCACCTCCCGATAGCCTTTCCTCAACTCTGATTATAGGCGGATGTCTCAAAGCAATTGCCCTTACAATCCAGCACATCTAGTCGCTGAGAACCCATCGACAGAAACAGAATGGAAAAGGCACTTGCCTTCATCACGATATGAACTTCTTTTTTAATGCCTGCTCCCCCCTCCCTACTTATATAACTAAGTAGGCGCCTACTTAATTCAGTAAGGAACTGAAGTAGCTAGTACCTTACTTAAGCTACTAGGCACTGGACGCGGGATAGTTCACGCTTCTTCAAGGAAACTTCCCCACAGCCCTTGAAGAAGCGATCGCACTAATGATTTGGTTTCTAGATTTCTTGGGAAACGCAAGCATCTGTGGAAAGGCAACTGATCTCTCTGAGGTGCCATGAGCAAATGGATCTTGTGCTCTGCCACATCCTCGCCGTATTCAAAAAGCCGTATAATGTTGGGATGGTCCAAATCTCGCAGCACCTCCGTTCCGCTGCTCCGGCCATCCATACGAGAGCGGCCCTATCTATCGGCCGGACTCATGGGTTTTCGATTGAAAGTATGAGCGGCCTCAAATTCAATGGTTGGTTTGGCGATGGTTGGTTTCTTCTGTATTAACCCCTAGATTTGCTTCATGAGTTTATCAGAGCAAGATCGAAACTAGAGGTCGGGGCAACACAGGCCTGTCGGAAGACCCTGCTTTCTTCGCTTGTTGTTCTGAAAACCTGTAATCTCTGTTTGAGAACAACCACCAAATCGCACCAATAACGCCCTCTGAACTCTCTTGACGCAAGTTCAGCAAGTCGGTGAAAAAGACCACCGGCCAGTGTCCGGGCGCTTCGTGGTCCGGGCTCCGCCTGGATCTCTTCTCGCATGTTTTCCAGCAGCCGTTCCGTCAGCCTCGCCGTGTCCACCGTCTTGATGACACGCTGCAAGCCTCCACCGGAAGCAGCCGTGCACCGTCGAGGCCGAGCGAATGCCATACAAACAACGATACCGATGCAAACGGAGACGAACGGGCCGTTTGAGGAATGAAGACCAGTGTCCCAAAACGATCCAAAACGACACTCTCGGAAGTGGAACCGTTCGGCCCCTGGAACTCCTGGAACACCTTGTTCCTCTACACTACAAAGGGATCAGCTTTCTTTATTTCTTGGGAGGCTATAAATGGCCAACACGTTGGCTGTTTGCACACAAAATCAAGACTTGCATGTCTCTTGTTGGTATAAATGCCGTGGTCGTCTCCTTAGAACTACTCAGAGCCGCCATGTGTCATCAATTGGTGTGATGAACCTATTGCCACTGGGAACTGGCAAACTGCTGATAACTTAGCCCCATTGATTGGGAAAGTTTACAGTATATGTTTTAGTTCTCATGAATGTCGTCTCCAGCCTCAAACCTCATTACTCCCTTAATTTGACAGGGCAATGTGCGTTTGCCCAACGTCGGTGTGAAGGGTTGTCCCCAGCAACAGTAACCCTCCACTGGGATCCCAAAGAGAGTGGTTTGTCAATAGCGGACGGTTGCATCAGGGCACTGACAACTCAGGGAAGTGGACTTGTTGATAAAGTATTCTTCGGTATTGTATAGTATAGCATAGTATAATCATTGCCTATATTGTTATGCACACCCGAATCCCATATGACCCCTGTGTTGAGCTACTCAGCTAGCTACTGAGCTACCAACCACCTTAGCTACTGAGCTATTGTCCTTTCGTCCTTTCAGAAGCGGGTTTACAAAGACCCCCATCACTTAGAGACACAGCATGGAGATGTTGGCATGTCTTTGGGTGTGCACACCGACCATCCCCATCGGCCTGTGGTCTTCTCGCGGACCAAGTAGACAACACCGAAGCCGCCAGTGCCAAGCTCTTTGATGAACTCATAGCCTTGTAAAACAGAGAAGACCAAGACCCCTATAAAAAGAGGTGCTGGATAATATGAAGTTGCCAGATATTTCATCCTGATTGGCGGAAAAACTGGGACTCAGGGAACATCTCTACTGTGTTCGCTCTGCCGACGTCTGGAGCCGCTGCTGTGGTCCTTCAGTCACCGCGGTCGGGTCGACCCCTTTCGTCCGGGTGGCGTGCTTTCAGGACCTCGCCGCTCAAATTCTGCTGTTGGGCAATCAATCCCCTCGGTGTGGCTTGCACGTGACGGGCAGGGCGGCCCTTCCACATGGGGGTGAGAAGGCCCCAAAAAGGGATGGCACGGAGAAGAAAAATGAAGACGAAGGAAGAGATCTAGACAAATGATTGTCCGACCTTGAGAAATCGAGGGGTCGATGCCAGGTAGTTATCAAGGCCGACCAGACTTGGCTGTTCACCTGGGGGTATCCCGAATGCATCAACCGTACGCCGATCTGGACAGCAGCTCCGCAGTCTGCAGGTAGGACCAGAGGTGAACTGTTACCAGAAGTGCCGATGGCGCCGTGATTGAAGAGGCCAAGCGATCCATGTTCGGTCTTGAAGCGGCCAAACAGCCGAAAATCAGTATCAGTGAATCCCCCTATCAAGATACCGACATTATATATGTACAATATATACATAGGTTATCTAATATTAATACCGGTATATCCACTATATAATATGTATATATAGATAAATGACGTATATGTATATATATGAAGTCCTTCCAAAACATACCGACATCCTGCCAGGAGTCCCGCGGCTGATCGCTGCATATGCATGGCTTTGCTTTGGCCAGCAAGTCGACATGGGCTCAGCCGTTCGGCCGCGAGGCTGCGCGGCATAAGCGGAGGATTGGGTTGATGTCGAATTGAATCGGATGTCCTTTTTCCAGGCGACTCTCTCTCCAGATTGATCTCGGATTTTTGAACTGCGCGGACCTAGGTCATCCAAAGTGGATCCCGTCGAAGAGCGAACCCTCTGCCAAAATGCATGAATTGGAAGCGTGAAGCTGTTACGGTTCGGTCACAGCTCAAGGGATCCTTAAGAGTATTGGGAGTGAGCTTTCGGCCCTGAGCCGATGCCGATGCTGCAACCCGAGGCCAGATCAAGCCATCATCGTGGCCAAGGGTATGGCCAACGGGATATCTCTGAAGTCAATCTTGTGCAGATTTCCCTAAAGTTCTTCACAAACACTTGTGGGAAACCAATCAAAATGATGTAGGAAAGTTGAGAGAGTCCGTAGGATTCGCGGTCAGATCCTCTTTTCGGTCTCGACACTCAAACATTCCCCATAGGTCCCCTTCTCAAACAAAATCACATGGTTCTGAAAACATGTGAAAACTCCTTGAGCAGGCACCGACCTGCGACCTTTGACCAGTGAGGTTAGCAGGTTAGCATAGCATGTCCAGGCAATGCACTAGATTCCTTAGATTCTGGGAAAAGGTGCGGGCCATCAAGTATCCAAGCAAGATGCAACTACACAGCAGCAAAATTGCGGTAAAGCCAGTTGCATCTTTTTGGACCACCAACAAGCACAAACACCCAACGCCCACTGGCCCTCAGGCCTTGTAGGAAGAAAACCGTTTGCTTCCAGCAAGTTTGTGTCGATCTCAGTTTGAATGAGCAGTGACTGCTCGCAAGCGACTTGCAACATGCAGCAGCTCTCAAAAACGACCGGCAAAGTTCGGGTGGCTTCACAATCACAAAAAGACTGGGACTCTTCCAAAACGGGTGATCGATAATTATATATATAGTTATATAGATGTGGGCCTCTACTTTAGAAATACTGTAGGTAGTTGCAAGAATCATCCCACTGTTGCAGGCAGCCCCTAAATGCTCAGCTGCACTTCTCATCTGTGCCGATATGAGTTGAAACCTGAAGTCATACTGTCTAACAGATCTTTGTGATTCTTGCCGACGCACACTCCCCGGTCAAACGCAAAACAAAAAATACGGTCACGAAACAAACGCGCTCGGAAGCAACCTCACAAAAATCAAGCAACCAAATCAGCAGAGCAATCCGTACCGATCATCCCAACAGCAAAGCGTGCTTCCTAGCCGACACACCAACACCACCTCCGAAAAAGAGAGCAAGAAAGACTCGGTCTGAGCACCCCCCCCGTTCCGGTGCATGGTCGAGCAGCTCAGGTCCGGTGCTGAAGCAGATGGGCTTGTGACAAGCGCCAAACCACACCTCGAACCTTGTGACGAGCACAACAGCAAAACGGTCCGGGAGTTTTGTTAACTCATGATGGATTTCAAACCGCTGGAACGCTGCGATCTTCACTGCTAACCTATCTCTTCCTTTTCAACACTTCTTGGCTTGCTGCTACAAAGAAAACTGCGACAAGAACCATGGATGGTTCCCTACCGACGCAGTGAAACTGTGGAAGAATTTGCCTGTGAAATTCCAAGGTGCTTGGCGTTTCATGGCGTTTCATGGTCGTCTCATAATGTTGACGGTTGATTCATAAAACACCCCAGCACTAGAGATGTAGAACCATCGTGGTGGGTCTTCTTTTCATCACCAGTCGACATGACATTCACCCAGAAGTCAAGGGTCTCTGTGCTGGTGTAGAAAATTCATGTCTCACGCAAATGGTCTTCAGCCAGAATGAATGTCTGCGATGATCCCTGTTTCTTTGTGCCCAGCCAGAAGACCATTGCATCCAAAGAGCCCTGGCGACGTCTCGCAGATGTCTCGCGTTTCGCGCCATTTCACGAGGCACGTCGTTTCGAGGAGCTGCGAGATCCTCACCGAATGAACGGCATCCGCATGCGTCCGCAAACAATTGGGGTTGCTGATCTCCAGACCATCTGATGGAAGCTGAAAAAATGCATTTAAAAAAAAAGGTATCAAAAACAAAAACATATATATATATATATATATATGTTCATCAGTCTTCCGGTGAGGAGAAGACGAGTGTCTCAGACCGTCTGGTTGGAGTTCGTTCCGAGGAGTCTCGGGGCTTGAACATCGCATCCCCCAATGTCAACGAGAGGATCTGCCGCAGACGACCTCGGACGACACGACGAAGACACTGGACCACCCCGCTCTTTGGTCAACCGCCTCTTTGGTCGCGGAGCCGGCTCACGTTCTGAAGCGAGCCGCTTCGAGCAAAGGTCTATGTACATCCATGACCAAGACGCAGCAAAGCACGGCTCAGCAAGGCTAAGCAAAGAGGATATCCAGGGGCTCTTCTCAGAGTTCGGGTCCAACAAGTCATGTATCTTTTTGTATCTCAGATCCTGGTTCACCTGTTTCCACCTGGGCACCTCAATCTAAGTCTCGTAGCATGTCGAAGAAGCTCACTGTGCCGGGTGCCCCTTCCTCGACACCTCCCAGCGCGGGCACCGCTGGCACAACCACGGCGATGTGCGGTGGGGAGCTCGAGTGCGCCTCCGGACGAGTGCAGCTCGGAGTAGCTCTGCAGACTCTCTGGAGGCTTGCTTGAAAGATGTTGTGGTTTATTTAATGTCTTTGTGTAATTAGAAGTTTACAAGCTTCAAAGCAGCGACGAGGTGACCAGGCAGTGGAAAGTTCATGCTTGACGGCTTGTACCTGACAAAGGCCTAGTGACTAGTGGTTCGCATTCGAGGGCTGCGAGATGCTCTTGGTGAAAATTAAGATCTGAGGGACCTTGGATCTTGATAATAACTTTGTCTACTTGCCGGGACCTTCGGAAACCCGCTGATACTAAGCAGGTGCGCCTTGTTCACCACTCTTGATTTCTTGTCGTGTCGTGTACTTGGGTAAGTCTCTCAAACTGCAAGCTATGCAACTCGCACCTTCGTGCCTCCTCCCACAAGACTGGGGGAAACAGCACGCCAGATCCAGAATGTGGTAGTTATCACGATCTCGCAAGATCTCAAGTCCAAAATCCACAATGTTGGCTGAAGTCGGCTGTTCCACCTGTTCTGAGCCCCCCGAAAGGCCCCCGAAGCGATCCTCGAAGAAGCTTCAAATCACCTCGATCCTTCGGGTATGACTCAGACATAGCGCCGTCCGAAGCGGATTCGCCCGTGAGGCCTGTGGCTCCTCCTCTCCGAAACCTGGAAGCAGGCTTCTGCCAGGCGCGCACAAATTGTGAACCATCACCAGCAGGATGTTCAGAATCCTGCTCCAAGACCCCCCTCAGGATGTTTGTTTTGGTACCTAATTACTTCGCAGCCCCGTAAATTGGCCGGATGTTCTGGCAAGCAGTTCATTCAACACGCTCGCTGTGCCAGGCGCCTGGGATGGTCTCAGGCTCCTCCATCGGAATCGGCTTCTCCAGCACAGCGGTTGCCACCTGCAGGCCTGTGGTGGCGGTCGCCACCCGCAGACCTGTGGCGGTGGGACTTTCAAGCCAAGCCCGGTGCAAGAATTCGGGTCTTCAGTGCGCCTCAACAGGCTTCAAAAAACACCTGTTTAAAGCAAAATTAGGTGGTTACAAGACCGCCCTGTGGCATGGTTAGCGGTTGGGACGCGAAGTCTTGCGAGTCTTCTTTCAAGCCACACCGATCGGACAAAAGCCTCACGGATCGGTTTCCGTCAGAATCAACCAGGATGGGTCTTCGCCCCTTCGCGTGAAAAAGGACCAGGTTGGTGACTCCGACCGCGGGTAGTTAGGCCGAGCGGAAGAAACGACAAACCTTCTCATCAGCGCGCGCCTGGCTTCTCCTCAGCCACTTGAGTGATGCCAATCTCCTACCGGAAAAGCACTGGAGAACACGGGCCACAAAACCAAACAGGCGGGGGGGTGAACAATCCGTAATGCACCGGCTAGGTAGATACCCATAGTGAAGCACAAGGGTTCCATCTCTGATAGAGCTGATGGTGCTGGTGGTGCACCAAACTCAGAAACCACATATTTGCCATCTCAGAGTCCTGACATGAGGATCTGGCATCTTTCGCAAGGTCTGGAGGCGTCACCTCTGTGCCCCAGACAGGACCCATGTGCTGCCACACCAAGGTCCGGTCCAAACAGAAGTGCATGGAAACCACAAGCCGGGAGCTGTCAGGTTCTGTACATCAAAACTGGTTGAACCTGCCCAAGAATGGAATAGTACGGTCATTCAATCGGCATCAATCCAGTTTCTTTGAAGTCTTGTTTCTACTAGCGAACATTGTTACTACTAGTAAGGCACTTGTTACTAGTAGCGATGCACTTGTTACTGTAAAACAGCCTTACCCCAAATGTCATCGCTTTACCCCTCGGTGCCAGGTCCCAGTGGATCGTCCACCCGTGTCACGACGCCGGACCCGGCCCGAAACGACCCGTCCTGAGAGTCAAACATGAGACAATCAAGCTGCGCCGTCAAGTTTTGCGACCTCTCATGGGGTGAAGAGTGAAGAGATGATGAAGTTCTCGAACCTCTCATGGGTAAAAACGAGGAAACAGGATGAAACAGGACAGATCCAAGCCATGTGACAATGATCATAAGCGAGTTGTCATTCATCCCCAACTCCCCATCCTCAACTCCATCAGCTCAGCTCCCCCACCGTGCGCGCACCGGTGACCCCGGCAGCGCCGCCGCCGGCGACACCGGGCCACGTGTCTTCACACGTGGGTGGTCGGCGCCCACTTCGGTCGTCGAGTGCTCCACTTCCGTGGACCTGTTCACCGGTGAGAGACTCTTTTGCAAGTGGAATGAGTAATGATATGTGTATAATGATGATTTTCTCACGTGAGAAAAAAATCATTACTCATTCCAGGTGATTAGTGATGTTCCTTTTCGCGACGCCCCATTTCTCCCCGAAAACCCTCATTTCGCTGCGTGTTCCTCGTCTCCTTCGCAACAGCTTTCGCGTCTCGGCGACACCCCGGGCTCCAGACCTTTGGTCTTCCACCTCCGTCGGTGGCCCCGGTCTCGCCGCGGCATCGGCTGGAGTGCCTGCACGACATGGCTGATGAGTGTCAAATGCCAACAACCATGGCTCCATTGGTTGCTCTGCCAAGTCTGTGAACACCCTGAAGCGGCTAGAGATGGGAACGAGTCTGTTTTTTTCGTTTCTGGGGTTCAAGGGTTGGGTCCTCAACTGGAAAAAACTTGCAGCTGCCCATGAAATTCCAGCTGCGCAAGGTGAAGAGGACAATTCTCGCATCACACATCAGGTGTATGCTGAAAAAGGATCCGTGAGAACCTCAAGGGGTAAACGTCAACAAAGTAATATATATATATATATATGTATTGCATATACAATGAATGGTCGGCACCTCCAACTATGAAGCATCCTTCAATATTGTTTTTCGAAGCGAACACCAGATAAACCCAAACCTGAAGAACGTCCTCGTCCTCGTCCTCGCGCTGCTCTTCCTCTTCCGCGGCCCTTCTGTTCTTTGGCACTGCCTTGTGCTGGACCTTCATGCGGCGTAGGCACAACAAGCGTGGAAAGGAGCTGGGAAACTGGAGTGGAGCACGACATGTTTCAACCATCAGAACTGCGGAAAGTGGACTCGCACCCTTCGGAAAACCCATACAAGCGCTGACTCTTCACAACCGTTTCTCACATGAATTGTCCAAGCCTCTACTCCTTGATACTGCTATGTTTCGAGTCAATTCTGCGGTCCAATCGCTTTGGGATCCATCCATCTCCGTGGTCCGACGCTCCGACCGCCCTCGTTTCGACCTGCCCCGCTTTGGTCCATGTTGTGGTTCAGCTGGAAGGGCCGACCCAGCACGCGTCGCTCCTCCGTTCGTTTGTCCGGTTCCAACCCAAGAGTTGCTTCCGGTGTTTCTGTTTATGGAACCGATTAGTTTTTTCAGCTTTCGGTCATGGTGCTTCTGCTTTTGGCCACCGTGGACCATATTTCGCAGAGAAACGTTCCGGTATCCTCTCACAGTGGACCCAAGACCGCTTATGACCCCAACGCATCTCTCGCCCCTGCTGTAGCTATGCGCTACCACAGAACACTGGTCACCAACATTCCTGCATAGTTCGGGACAAGTGGAAACCTTGATCAAAAACAACGAGCCCCTCCTTCTCTGGACCAAGTTATTCTTGGAAAGTACTAGGGCTGCACCCCACATATATCGAGTCAAAGCTGTTGAACCCCGTTCCAAACACATGGATCCGCGGCGCACACACACAGGCCAGCTGCGGCACCTTTTTTGCAGTGGAGATCAGCTGCACATCTAGCGCATTGGTGCGGCACGTTTGCATTTTCATCTCCGGTGAGCGATACTGGGTGGTTCCATGGTCGTCAACCAGTTGATACCTTGGGCATCTCCAGTCTGCAGGGTTCACAGTCTGCTTGCAGCCGCATGGTTACGAAGTATCTATATATTCAGGCGAACCACCCAAGTATTGAATGTTGATGAACATTGATTTTAACCCCCCAAAACGGAGATGCCTGAGCATCCAGATCTCAAATTCTAAGGGATGATTCATCAAAAGGTAAACGTTAACATGATCCTAGAAGCAGGTCGAGCAATCTCGTATCAACAACTGCTGGTCATTCCAGTAGTTTTCACTCCTCGTAGACTCGCAGGCAGCTCCTATTCCTCCTGCCATTCCCAGGTGTCGTGCAAGGTCTCGTTGCGGCGAACCGGCTTTGACGACATTCGGCCGTCATAGTCCCATCCTTGATCGAGATCCAAACATCACCAACAAATGGATTTTTCACACCTTCTTGGGTCCCCCGAATACCATGACGTGTGTATCCAATGGGTTTTCGTCCGTTTTCCTTCTTCCA